CAGTTGTTAGATATTGTTGGCCACGCATTGAAAACAATTATAAATTAATTAATATATATATATATATATATATATATTTATTATTAATTAATTTGATATGATGATTTAATTAATCATTATTATATTAATTAATTAACTTATCTTGATTTGATCTTTATTCATTTTGCCGAAAAGCTCTGATTATTCTGATTATTCACTGTATGTGTATGTTTCTTCCGCAAAAAAATTAGATTCAGCGTAACAATAAAAGCGTAAACAGTATAAAATAACTAGGCGGAATCTGATGTTCAAGTGAAACGATGTGATTGGTCGGCGCAAGTTATGCTTCGTAAGTTATGCCGCATGTGACTACACCCTTATTGTAGCGTAACTGAGCGTAACCTTAAACTCACCTTAAATTTATTGTAGCATAACACGCGCCGAATATAAATGGTAAAGTCAAATTTGGAAGTTTTTTTTTAAGATAATAAAGATCGATATGAGCACAGTATAAATAGATACAGTAGGTCCACTCTATGTTGGCACCTTTGATCTGAAGTAAAATGGTCGGCCATAATGTTGAGTGTGCAGTTTAATAAGCATAAAATAAAATAAAATTATATATGTAATTAAAGAGAAATAAGTGCAATAATTTATGCAAATTAACAAATATAATAAGAAAAAGATTATTCAAAATTTTTAATTTGCATTTAATTCACATATAAGTTTATTTCCTTTGTCAATATATGTGTGTGTACATACAAATATGAAAAACACAATTATTAAATATAAAAAATGTATATTTACGATATATGGTGTATATATTATTGTACATGTTAAAAAATAAAATTTTAGATATAAGTTATAGAGTTCAAAAAGATTTATTAATTGATAAGATCATTTATGATGTGTGTGTGTGTGTGTGTGTGTGTGTGTGTGTGTGTGTGTGTGTGTGTGTGTGTGTGTGTGTGTGTGTGTGTACAATTATAAAAGAAATGAGATTGAAATTTTTTGAAGTTTATTCTTTTCATTGTCTCTTATGTTGTAGGTGTATGTTAATTTCGAATTCACTTCCCTATAATTCTTTCTATACTTAATTTTCCTTCTTTTACTAGAATCTAAGCGAAGATACGTCATATATAATATCTAAAACAGAATATAACGAATATTCAGTTCGATCCATTTCTTTATTTATGTTTATATAAATTTTGCACACTATAGAATATTTAAATTGTTGTGTTAAATTGTTGCCTTTGACAAATTTATATACACTATTGACAAATTTATTTACACAGTACTGTGGTTATGTACAATTTTTTTGAACCGCCATATTGTTGAATGTGCATTTCTGTCATGCGCGAATGACAACTATTTCACGGATATTGAGCAGAGTGAACCTATTCCTGTATCTACTTATACTGTGATATGAGCAACAAGGAAGGTTTAATTATCGGCAACATTAATGTAGAATAAAGTGCATACATCTTAATAATTTTACAATATATTTCCCTCTGATGAAAGTATTATTGTATTTTAGACGCTTTGTTAATAACAAAAGCTAAAGGAATATTGTTCTTAATTTCATTCTACACCTGTTAAACCAATTGCGAATTTTTTCATTTAATTATGTTAAACAATAAATATTTAATAAATATTTAATTAAATATCTATAAGTAAATTTTATTAAATTTCATTAAATATTAATTGTGAAGTTAATTAACAAATAATATAAATATTAATTGTTTATATTAAATTTACAATTAATATTTAATTAAATTTAGTAAAATTTACTTACACACTATGGATATTTTTTTCGACTGTTTTCTTTCTTTCTATGATCCCGCCATGGAATGAATGTACTTCGCACAGGTTTTACAAATAATTAAGTAATTTTAATTGTTTGATGCTTACGCGATTCTCTTTAGCAATTCTGTCAAAAATAAAGAAATGACTGCGCAGAGGTCAGATTCGTTTCTATTGCGAACTTTTCACTGTTTTCGATACGCGAGTTTCGTTTTTTGAGGGTGACACTCCCAGAGGCCGGCGCCTAGAATTTTTTCACTGTTCAAGCACTGTGAATGACTAGTGGTCAAACGGGTGTCATCCATTCCTTGATCCCATGAAGTGGAATGAGCGTAAATAAAACGGCGGTTTACCAATTACAAAACTGTTTAGATGAAGGGAAATAACGAAAATCGTTTGTGATTGGCTATCCGCCTGATCCACTTACGCGAATTCCGCGTCATGGGATTACAGAGCGTATCACGGATCGTGCGTATCGAAAATCTGACCAATTACGGACGTTCCTACGTTGCTATTTTCGATACGCAACCGTTCTGCCGAATCCATTATTATAGCATAACCGAGTGTAATACGCGCCAAATATAAATAGTAAAGCCAAATTTGGAATTTTTTTTTAAGATAATAGAGATCGACATGAGCAACAAGAAAGATCTAATTATCGGCACATTTTGCTAGCTGTTTTCGTTTTTTTTTAATATAAACGGTATGTTTCAAAAGTTCCCAATGACTTCGCAACTACTTCTCTGACACTATTTTAGAGATGGTATTGTGTCCAACACGGAAAGCATATGATAATAATTGCATACTATCTCCTGATGCCAAATACCTGATAGTTATATGCAATTTTGTTTCAGGTGAAATAGCTTTTCAAACCACAGATTGTTTAGTAATCAATAGTTCGACTATTTGTAACAATTTCTCAAAAAGTTGGTTCCAATCGGAAATAATTAACAAATTTTTCACGATCTTGTTGTTCCAATTCATTAACAAGATTATTGCTCGTTCTTTATGCTAACCTTCGTTCAATACTAAATATTGGACTGACCCAATATTTTCGTTTTCCTTTATCAGTTATTTTTCATTTTTTATTAATATAGAATAAAGTGCATACATCTTAATAATTTTACAATATATTTTCTGCCTGATGAAAATATTATGATTGTGTTTTAGACACTTTGTTAATAACAAAAGCCAAAGGAATATTGTTTTTTATTTCATCCTACACTTGTTAAACTAATTGCGAATTTTTTTATTTAATTATATTAAACAATAAATATTTAATTAAATATTCATAGTGTATAAGTAAATTTGATCAAA